TGAACATTTTTTATAAATTTATTGACTTAATTTTATAATAAAGAATCCACATAGTTATATTGAAAATAAATTAAATTGTACTTATTTCAATATTTTTATATAGGTTATTTATTATAAAAAACAATTCATACTACACTTAACTAATATATTTTATCAAATTAATTAAAATATTTCTTGTTCAAAAATGTTCTTTGATTTAACAAAAAAATATCACTTTGGACGAATTTCTGATACAATATAACACTGATCAGTGACGTATCAATGGGGGGAGGGGGGTTTGGGGATCAGAATCCCCCCCCCATAAACCTGTGATGGTAAATTTACTTTTATATGAAACACGGTTTTTTCTTAAACATTTTTATATTATAGAATTTTGACTAAAATTTTTTGAAATCATATTAATAGTTTGTATAAACACTATAAACGTATTATACACACGCTGCACATACACACACACGCATAATATTATGACCATATTTAGATATTTTACTACTACTTTGATCATTTTTGCTTGGGAACATATTATTTAGGTTTTCTACAATGGTTGATTCTAAATCGGTCGTCTGGTTCCGACATAAAAGTGATATCATTGTCTATATTCAAAGTTTATTTTGGGTATACCTATTGCATTCGCGGCTCGCCGATCATTTAACATTAGCACCTTATTGTATAAAACTAATAGTTATTAGTTAATAGTTAATTGTTGCCCGTTGGTGTCTCACTGTTTTATTTATTACTTATTTAATCGTTTATATTTGACATTTGTATTCAATTAGGTATATTTGTTTAATTTTAATTTGACATCATTCTAAAGACATCTAAACATTCCATTATGGTAAGATATTTTAAAATTTAATTTTTAGTATACCTAAGTGATTGGACAGAAAATATTTTAATATCTAATATTTATGTTCCTATATTATTTCCTAGTTCCTAAATTGTTATTATTATTATTTATTATTATAGGAAAATTCTCTAACAAATAAGCAGACAAGAAAAATTAATTATTTTTTTTTTATCTGAGATGCTTTTGACATCAAGTTTCTACTCAATACCAAAGTTTCGATTGAGAAACTACATAAAAAGGTACGTCGTCCACCACAATGTCACAATTGCCAACTTTACGGACACACGCGAAACAATTGGTGCCACGAACCTAAATGCGTAAAGTGTGGTAGTAATCACCCCACGAAAGAGTGCTTCAAAGACCATAATAGTCCACCTAAATGCGCCCTTTGCACAAAGTAACACACAGCAAATTTCAAGAGATGCCCAGTTTACAAAGCTACTTTCAAAAAAACAGTCCCAAGAGTCCGTCCAACCAAGGGCTCTGATTCCAACGCCCAGTCCAAGACCAAACATGTGGAAGCCACAAAATTTCAATTATCACACACCACACAGAGAATAATATCGCCGACACTATATCAACTTTTATTTCAAATCTAAACCCATTAATTGGTCCCCTTATCTCCCTTCTCACTACAGTCCTAAGCACATTTAACCCTTTCACTGCTACTGTCGCGTATACGTGACAACAGTCTGTTTCTCGGGTGTGCTACTGTCGCGTATACGCTTTTGCTCTATTATAAAATAAGGTGTAATTACTACATTAACTAAATATGGAGTGCTGTCTAGGAAAGAAAGTAATAAATCAATTGAAAAAAAAAAAATTGTTTCCGTTCAATTCTAAAGATGTATTAATACATTTACATTTTGTCATTTCCAGTGATTACCAAAAAATAAATATGATACTGCATCCGTGGCAATAATAATAATTTTTGTTGTTTTTGACTGTTATCTACAAATTAAATTTTTCTTAGGCTGACCGCACACTGGTAAAGTAAAATTGACTGAAGGAATTTAAGTCATGTTTAATCATTTTGCTTTTAGTCAAAATAAAGCATTATGACCATACATTAGATAAAACATAGTTAGTCAAATCAATGTAAAACCAGTCGTCATAACCTAACGAGGAGGACATTGCTATTTTTATTTTATGGTTTATTTTAAAAGAAATTGAACAGGAAGAAAATAAATTTTGTTTTTGTAATCAATAAGAGACTGACGCTCTTGGACAAACGATATTAAATTTTCGAGGTTAATTTCATGCTCAACAAACATTTTATAAGCCTATTGAATAAAATAAATAATATACACATAATATGTACCTTCTACTTATTTACTTAATGTTTAAAATTTTTTAGGTGATACGTATAGTATATAGTATATGTCAAAATTATGTACATATATAAAATATAATTACCTTTATATTGTAGACAATTTAGCATAAATAAATAATTGTTGGCACCATTTTGATATAACCATCCAGTGACTGCTTGATTATGACTAATTAAAATAGCGCACGTTCTATTTCAATAAAGCAATATTAGTCATGACTAAAGTCAAAAATGTTTTGTTTTGACTGCGCTTTATCAGTGTGCGTATTTCCCATAAAATATAAATGTTTTATTTTTCATAAGTCACAATAAAGAGCTTTTAGGCGCTTTAAAGCAGTTTTGTTTTACCAATGTGCGGTCACCCTAAGGGTACATCTTACATCTTTACATCTAGGTAAATTTTTACTGTTTGTACTACGAAAAAAAGGAATATTATAAATAATAAATATTATACGTATACGGTAATATTTGAATGGTTTATACGGATATACATAAGATTTGAGAACCACTGGTTTAGGAAAGTAAAAAATTGAATAACTCGGTCAAAAATTAATTATTTTTTTTTAAAATTTTTTCTTCGGAATATATGTTAATTAAACTTTTTGTAAGGAGAAATTTAAAATTCTTGAAAAATTTAAAATTTATTCAGCACAGCATGCATTATAGAGAAATTTATTTCAGCAGTGAAAGGTAGCAGTATTCCATAATCTTATCTCTTTTCCTTTTATAATTATATTAATAAATATCCACATTAACTCTATTAAAAAATGTCAAATTGTATTCTCAATAACAATCTCAATTATCTTACCTAAACATTAATTATTTAGTATCATTATTATAAATATTACTTATAAAATTTAAAACTGTCAAAATACTTGTAATAACACCTAGTGTATTGAAACATTTTAAGTTAAAATAAATGAAAATTTTTTTTTTTTTTTATCTGAGTCAAAAAAACTAATGTCAGGCAGACTTAAAAATACCGGGATCAATACAAATAGTAGTCAAAATGATAGTGATAAGATTAAATATATATAAATTTGCTGAACCTCCACATAAAAAGTTCCTGGCTACGCCACTGACACTGATACTATATGAGACTTTTGGTGTAGATTGACTACTCGAGAATTATAAAATTATCGCTGTAAAATTAAAATGTTCATCACTTAGTTCGGAATTTAATATAATTATTTACCTGACGAAATTTTAATAATAAATGTTTTTACCAAAAATCCAACAGAATTCTTTGGTTTCAAATTTGCCACTTGAGCTAATAATTTGGACAGATTAATTGTAACATTTTTCTTCAAATACTCTTCACGTGATAAACTTTCGATGTGTTCGAAATCAATTAAATTTCCAAACTCTTCTAATAATTTCATCTATTTAATTAAAACTTGTTTCATTATAAGTATTTAATATATTAAATAATTTATAATTACAAATTTATGATTTTAATTTTTATTATTTTATTATTATATAGTTTTCCAATTATATCATTCAAAGATTTTAATGAGTTATAGTTATAAAAAATTATTGTTTGTTATTGTGAATAACTTGTCGGCATATTTTGGTTTGTAATTAGAAAAATAGTTTATAAGTTTATAAGTATATACTTTAGTATTTTATATTTATTCAATTAATTTTTTTTATCATAATTTAAATTGAACATAGTAAAAATATAATTGTAACGTAACACAATATTGGTATTAAAATGTCACAGTATTATCGTAATATTTAATCATAAGATTTTCACGTACCTATCATCATTTAATATTATATTATATTATAATAATAGAAAAAATGCAAAAAATTTTATATTTTATACATAAGTACAACATTTTATTACCTCAAAAGTATTCACAAGTATGAGTTTTAATAATTTTTATTTACAGCTGATTTTTTTAAATATATATTTGTGAAATAAAATTAAAAAGGAACCATCAGAACAGTTATAGAATAAAAATCGGAAAGGAAAAGACCAAGAGGCAGTTAAAGAGGAACTTAGCTCTGAGAGTGCAAGCATAAAAGAAAATGTTTGAAGCTTGAAAAAAATGGAAGGACGAAGATGTGATGACAACAACGATTGGAATAGATTTATAAATGTCAGTGAAAAAGAAGAAGAAATGAAATTAAAATACGGAAATAAGTAGATTTTTTGGAATATAATATTTTCAAACAATATTAAGTTGTTATAAAATTAAATAAACAATAAATATTAATTAAATATATATATATATATATATATATATATATTAAATAAATTAACCAAGCCTTGGTTAACATTATTAATGCTGTTGTGTTTTATTGATAGGTAGTTTTAAGATATATTTAAGTATACTTTTTCCTTTAATTGTTCAAATTGATTACGTTCATCGTCCATTTCTTTATATATTGAATCGGTTTCATTCAGACTAATTGTGTTATCTTTCAACAATTCTGAATCATATAATAATAATTTACTAGTAATATTATTTAATTATCGTTAGTGTTTTCAAATTTGAATTGTATTATAAATGCATGTTGCATTTATCTAATGATTCAATTACCATAATAACTTAATTCAATTTCATTGATTACTGTGTTTAAGATCGACTCGATATCCGGAATTATTTTTGACGAATTTAATTGATTTATATTTAAATTTAATGACGGCATTGAAAAATCAATGGTTTTTATCGGCACACAATAACGATTGAACATTTTCAGAAGATTATCATAGCAATCTTCATTATAATTACCACTGTTATTATTCGATTTCATTAATATCATATATATGTATGAATAATGGATGATTTAAACATACAATTTTTTGTTCTTCGTTGATTTTTTTAATATGGACTTAGCAATAACTTTATCCGATGCACTTGGTGCAAACTTATTTTCACTTCCTGATGAAAAAATATCAACTGATTTTACAAATCCAATTTGTTTTTTTTGTATCTTCCATTTCAACATTATTGTCGAAGGAAGGTGTGAGATCAATTTGTGTGTTTTGTTTTAAAAAAACAACCAAATCTAAACGTAGAAATCAATAATAATTAAAAACGTATCATTATGCTGTCAAGAAACTAATTCTATTAAAAAATGAAGTAGATTACCGGGTAATTTATTAATATCTATCTGTTTCGGTGAACGTATGTTAATGAATAGTTCTTTGGCTTCTTTTGTTGTGTTTGGATACCCGTTCAAAACATACCCACATTTAGTAGAAATGGAATGTGATATTTTTTCATTCAATAAACTATTGAAGAAATTTAACAGCTGAAGATATTTTCAAACGAATTGAGGCAATACATAGCAAATCATTTTTTATTTAACATACGGGATTAAATATTTATCTTCCAATATGCCATCGTTGAAATCCATAGATAAATATAATTTTTTTAGTTTTTGTTCTAACTCTGTTATACATTCGGTTAATACTGGGTCTTCTTTTTCATAATTATTGTCAACATTTTCTAGTAAGTCTATTTCTGATTCTGTGTATTGCATTTTTTGACGTAATGACTGGATTTCTTCTATCTGTACAAAAAAATTGATTACAATAAGCAGTCAATACATTTTTTTTAAGTATATATTATTATAAAATTCACGATTTCATTAATTAAATTTTGAGTAATTTGTTCTGGGTCTAAATATATCAAATTATAATGCTGAGCTATTCGATGTGCAAGTATGGTCATATCAGAAGCTACTGGACCGAGAATATGCAATTTTAAAATCTACGGAAAATAAATATACACGCAAATTAAATACACATTCGATTTTAAAATTAAAAAATTACTTTAATATTATGTTCTCTTTTATAAATCTCAACCAAAGATTTCATATTGTGAGTGATCGATGATCTGCCGCTATACCACTCAAAATTAGGCCACACTTGTTTAATGTTCCAATGCACTTTAATATCAACAGATATCATTTGTTTATGTAAGCCCTAATAACATATACTGAAATGTATACATTACATAATAAAAAAATATTTCTGCTCACCTCGAGTTTATAATTATTTATAAATGTGTCCAGTGACACAGGAGTCGAAATGCCTACATCGCATATATTACCAAGAGTCTAAGAAAATATTTATAAAACCTTTCGTTATAACATAAAAGTATTAATATATATATATATTTAAGATTTAATAACATATACTTACCGTGATGATTTGATTTAATGTATTCGTAGGACTTTCAACAGCAAAAATACAGTTATTGTATTTCAGTAATTCCTTGTTTTCGTGTATTACTTTATGTATGATCCTATAGATAATCAGAACATAAACAAAGCAACAGAAATTAAATGCTTATAAATAGTATCATATACAATAAGGATAAGCAAAAAGTGAGATGTATCCTAACCTGGCTAAGTTTTGAATGTGTATTACTGGAATGTAGTTTTGACTATTTGGTATTGGAAATACATCAGTATTTTGACAAGCCGAATTAAACGCGAATCTTAACAAATCTTGTTCGTAACCATATGTCAAACCAGTCCAAATAATTACAGACGACACAATTTCTTTTAACTTGTAATAAAAAAAAACCAAAACTGAAATTACTGTACATATATATAAAAGTTAACCCACCGTAATATATCGATGAAAATACCTCCATGGATATTAATTGTTTTTTTAATTCTTTTATTTTAGTACAGTTTAATAGAAAGTGGCCATATTAAACACTTATAATCAAATTTATATTTTCATCCATTAACCATTTAGAAAAAATAACTTTTGAATTTCCATTTCTACAAGGTATACAAATTGATGTACAAATTTTTAATATAGATTTAAATGTGTCGTATCGAAAATAAAAATATTGATTTTATAATTAGAGTAAATTTAAGCATATAAGATACGTTAAGCAACAGGTAATAATATTGACTAGGTATCGCAATAAATTAGGGAAAATTAGATAATTATTTACGATAAAAACGTTCATTATCATTTATTACTGTGAAGTAATAAATCTGCATGTGCAGATAGACAGTGTAGCAGCATATAAATGCCCAGTATAAGAGTCTACCTTATGACGTTAAATCGATTAACTATCTAGTTTATACTAATTTATTAATTAGTAAACAGTATAAGTATTAGTAAAAAGTATTAATTCCAGAAACGCTGAATCTTCTTTTAACTTACAATTAATTTGATTATAGAACTAATTATTTTGTTTTACAAAAGAAATACATACAATACAAAGACATTTTTAAATGAACTTATACCGCAATTCGTAGATAATATAGTTATATAGGAATTAGACATTTTAAAGTTGTTTTATCCAACAGTTAAGGAATGAAAAAGAATTTGAGTGTTTAATGTGGCCCTCATTAATGGTACTAAAACAAAAAAAATTAATATCTATGGAGAAATTTCCATCCGGATATCATGTTAATCCTTTTACTCCTATTGTTTGGTTGATGGCTAAAACTTCGAGTTCAAATTCATAATGCTCCATAAATGCAGGATTTGGAAATCTATTTTTCACATTACAATTCTTACTTACGATGAACTTTTTCATAATAAAAATTCATAATAATAATAATTTGTAACAATCTTTCGGTTGTTTATTAAAATTGCAACTTACTTTATTATTAACACCTGCCCATGTCATTATAGTCGATAGTAATATAATTAATATTTTGTTTTTGTTTTTGCCATTATTATCTATTCTTTTGAACTTATCGATTTTTTTTTTGAAAGATCTAAATATTTCTTTTCCCCTTGACAAAGCTGCAATATCTCTAGATATATCAATTATTACGACGCCGCATGTTTTCAATATTTCCAAAAGATCATCACTTTTGACTTTATTCACAATATGATTTTGTTCGTCCTAATTCCGTTAACATATTGAAAATATAAATTTATTAATATAATTTCTGTTATGCTAAAAAATTTCATTACATTAATGTATATTGGTATATTATTATGTTCTGTGGCTTCGATATATATTTCGTATGGAATTTCTGTCAGTATTTCATTATTTAATTTATCTAAATCGTCCATCGATTTATTATCTAAAATGTCATTAAACATGCGGTATTGATTTTTTAAAGTGTCTAGTCTTTTTGTCGGTTCTATATCCAACAATCTAAAATCGTATACTTAAATTGCTATATTTTGTAAATTTTATTGCATTAGATATTAATGTTTATATAGGACATTAACTTGGAAAATTCTATAGGCGACAAGCGATCAAGAATATTATAAACATAGTCTTCGTTTACCACTAATTCACCGTCCTTGACCACTTTAATGTTGTTTAATGTGGTGGGTGATTGAAATCCCATAACTTTTTTTGGTATTAGATGGTTATTATACGAGCTTGCAGTTGAAGGGACATGAGTTCCAGATATCCCATTAGGTTTGGCTAACATCGACGATAAAAACTATAAATATTTGAAATTAGATCAAATTTTATTTATCGTTTTTTATTTAATTTTTTTAATGTAAAATATACCTATTAATTAATAATATAAACTCGAAAAATTATTGCGTTTATCAATTATTCTACATTTAAGTATTATAAATAATAAATAAACTTGTTAAATAACTTGGTTACCCTATTACCTTGATGATATATTTTTCATTAAATGAATTTCCTGGGCTAATGAAAATTCGATTAAAATGATAGTGCCATTCAGCAACTTTTATATGGTTTATGTATGTCTTAATTTTTCGTTCAAGTTCAATTTTATCACGAATGCAGCTAGATGAATAATTCTCAGATAAAGGTGTCTTAAATATATTCATGTTTTCACCGTTTTAAAAAGTTAAACAATTAATATCAAGTACTGAAATTAAACAATTGAGTTTAATACACAAGTAGACCCTGTTATAAATTTCATAATTTGTTGTTATGGTTCCGAAATAATCGTTTATCATATCATATTTCAAATTTCCTTTCAGACAAAATATTATTCTTATATTTATAATTGATCAGTATATATTATGTTTGATTAGGCTGTGATCACACATGTCGACATGATCTATAGATGTAATGGTATATGATGGACGTCTAGCGTAAAAGAGAAACTGTGTTGTTGAAGTTGGATGTATTGTCATTTTCTATTTTCTAACGATTGTTGTTATTACAGTATTTTATTGGTTTATATTAATTATTATTATTTTTATATTAGTTTATGTCAAATAAAGTGATAGTAAAAGAATCATAACTTTATGGATTTAATATATAAGTAAATTAATTAATAAAAGTTTACCCGGAGTATTATTATATTTGTAAAATACAACTGTTTTCGAATACAATTAATCATCAGGTACATACAAAATCAATAAAATCGCCACTGATTATAGAAAAATAAAGGAAGGAATAGGTACATTGAGAAAAATTAGTCGTTTTACATGAAGATAATTTATTTTAATAGAAGAGCTTATTTAAAATGAGTTCTAATTATATATAGATATGTTCAGAAATATAAATACTTTAGTTTTTATTATTTATTATTATCTAAAATGTAATAATATAAGATATTATTTTTAAAATTGTTTTAAATACCTAGATTTCTTGTAAATATTAAACTCAATATTTTGATCTATTATGGTAATTGTATCTAATCTAAGAAATTAAATGTATTATTTATTTGTATTTCGAGTGTAAATTGAATGTTTTTATTTATTTTGTTTAAATCTTTAACTAAATTTTCTGTTTGTCTATTTGAACCTCTAAATAAAATGAAAGTGTCATCAACATATCTATAATATCCATTTATATATGGTTTGTATATTCGGTTTTTAATAATATGATTAATTTTATAATTTGCATATAAATTTCAGATAAAAGAACACTTAAAGCTCTACCCATAATCAACCCTTCTTTTTGAGAATATAATTTAATATTCTATTGGAAACAATTTTGATTAATGATTATATTTATTCATTTAATAATTTCTTGTATTTCGTTTATATTCAATTTTTTACTGTGAACGAGCTTATTTTATAAAAGATTTTCCGTTTCTTATTAAAGAATAGGTCTGTATACATTTTAATTGCCAATAAAAAATTTTTAATACCCTGGTTCAATAATATTTTTTTAAAATGTTTTCAAAAAAAATCATAAATGTTTTTTATAGAAGTATTAGTATTCATGTTCATTATATTTTTATGAGTGAGTCTAAATATTTATCAAGATTATATGTTGAAGCAGTTTTAAATATAATTAATAGATGAATCGGATTACTTTGTTAATGTAATTTTATGGATAGATGTACCTAAGTATAGAACCATTATTTTGTAATATTTTCTTTTGCAATTTAGGTATGATTTCTTTTGCATAGAGAAATTTCTTTATACTAGATCACAGAACTTTTAATTAGTATGAAAAAATGTGTTTTTTCAAGAATGTTTGTTGGGCTAAAGTTATTTTATCAACATTTTCGAAAAGAAGCTAAGAAAACATGAAATTTTCAATCATCTATAAATTGCTTGAAAAAATCTTTAGAAAATGATATCATTTATAGCGAAAATCGTATAATCATTAAATGATTATATCAATTTTGTATGATGAATATTTTTAAATTACAATGAAAACTAAAATTCGATTAATCAAAAACTGGTATATTGTAAATGTCGCCATTTATTTTTAACTTTTTGTTAGTTTTTTAATACTTGTTAATAATTATTTATAAAAACTATAGGGGAACTCGTAAAATGATGACCCCAAAATAATCAAAATACCAAAATAACCAAAATAATCCTACACAATTAAAAAATGTACACGTTTAATTGAATCATTGAAGGAAGATTGTATTAGATAAGGAATCTGCTCCTATGCTGGTTTATTTATTGTATTAATACCAATAATAGTACTCAGTAATAATTATTTAAATAATGATTAATTCATTTAAAAATTACAGTTGTTGTGTGAACAAAATTATTTTAGTGTCAGTTATATTCTTATATTAATGAATATATCACTAATACAATACTATGAAGCATAAACTTTTTTTTAATCCTTAATTTTGATTAAAAAAAAATCTGCTTTAATTATGATTAGAACTACTAGTTTAATTAATTAGGTTAACTAGTAATATTATATATGGTAAATAAACACAACGGTTTTCTCGTTTTTTTTTTTTATAAAATTCATTAATTTATTTAAATACTAGCTATAAGAATATACAGAAATAAAATGCATTTAATATCATTTATCCATAAGAAAAGGCTTTGTATTTTAATAAATAGAATAAATAGAAATAGACATCAAGCAATTTTTGACCAACTGGGTTTTTGAAATGTTATATTTTAGTATTAAATACTCGAAAAACTTTTATTATTTATTTAGTTTTTATCAATCTAATAATCTAAATAAATCAGATTTTATCGAAATGATGTTGAAAAACATTCTCTAATTTTGCTTCATTTTTTAAAAATAAGTACATGAATTTATTCAATATTATAGATTTTATAAAAACTATACTAACATTAATGTTTAATTTGATTTAAAAAAACCGAAAAGATGTTATAATTTTTCATAAATATTTTTATTATTCTCAACACTATCTTTTAATTTCTCTTGCGTTAGCTAAAAAAATACATTGTGCTTTAATTTTCAGTTTAATTTGCATTTATATTCTTAGTTTATGTAAAATGTATGGTAATTGAGCATTATCATAGTTTTAATTGTTTTCTTAAATTAGAAAAATTGAATTTAAATCTACATTTTTTATATTTTTCTTGTATGTATGTTATGTATATAACATATATATATATATGAATTTGTTTTATTACATAAATCTATATTTACCTTGATAACTTTAATAGTACAGTATATTTTAAATTATTTTACTTTTGTGTTTTATATTTCATATTTATTATTTAGTATATGTGAAAATACGTTAAACATACGTAAAATCCACATTTTGCGTTATAATACGTAAATGGCAAAATTTTTTAAACACTACAAAAAGTTTTAATTCTTAACCAATATTTATTAAAACAAATTTACATTTACTAAATCATCAATAAAAATTACCTGCTTATTAAATCAAATCATTCAAAGTACATTAACAATATACGAATTATATTTTTTATAGGTTACATTATTTATCTATTTTATTTTAAGTGTTCCTTAGTATATATTCTTTTATCTTATTATGACATTTAAAAAGGTTAACTCTGATATATTTTTCATTTTTCACTAAACATTTATATTTAATTATTCAGACCGCATTAGTTTTGATACCTATATTAGTTTAATTGACCATCGACAAATATTTTCTACAATAATCGGTTTCACTAATGTTTCATAACACAAAACCTCTTTATTATTAGTAGTAGGTATTACTAGTAGTCATGACCGCTATTCACATTGCATTATAAAGGGCGATTTAAACAGAAGTTTCACTTATGTTAGAGGGCAAGTAGTTCAAATATTATCATAAACATACTGAATAACTAGTTTACGAAAACGAGTATTAAGGTTTTTTAGACTGTTCTAATCGTAACTGCAAAATAGTTAAATAAAAACTATACTATAGTATAACCATAAATTATAATGTAATTTTGAATTTAATTACAATACGTAATTAGGTCAGATCGATTAACAAATTAGCATTCGAAATCTCAGAACATATCTATCTATAAAAATTTTAAGTTTGTTCTAAATTTACATAGCTCTGATTAAAACAATTCATTTAACTCGTATAGGTATAGTTTATAATTTTTGATTATAACCTGTGGCAACACAATATCCACGAGCTTTACAAAACATTTTCTATTTATTTCATTATTGTACAAACAGCAAAAATAATTACTTCCTTTCGATGATATAAAGGGTCATAGGTAATATACTAATATATAAATATATTAGGAAAAAAGTATTATTTAAGCGATGAACGTGATTATGTGTATACTTGAATAACAACAGGTATAGATTATTCGTGACCTTTTCTCTCCGTTTTAATGTGATATTCCACAGTTACTTCACTTTTATCGCCGATGGAATATTCAGACACTGCGTTATCACGTTCAACGCACAGTTAAATTTTTTATTAATTTTTCCGTTCACATTTATTGTGTACAATTCTAAAAAATATTAATCAAAATTTTCTCTATCGCAATACGCTTTATTTTGGAAGTCGTATCTAAAAAATAATGCAGTAAACACATCAGTACGATATATTTTTAATTAAATTATTTGGTTGTAGTTGAAAACAATTTAATTTATGAACTTTAAAATTGGTGCTATGCAACAGTTCGTTTTTCCGTACTGTTAGGTATTTTTTTCTTTAGGTTTCTAAAAAAATTGCGCAGAAGTAAAATTCAAATATTTTTGGTGAATGTTAAAATCAAATACTTTGATGATATTCATATGTTTAGAAAAGTTTGTAAGTATTAAGTGTAGAGAAAAAATTAATTCTACTCGTACAATTAATCCAATTATCCATGATATAATATAAATTTCATCGATTATATTTTTACATAATCATAAATGTTCATTTGTTTAAATATTAATTTCAAATTTTTATTACGTTACTTCGTATTTGATTATTCAGTTAAGTTCACTTTAAAAGATTATTCCAAAATCTACAACTTATGTTTTAATTTTAATTTTATCGAAACAGGAATGTCTATCATCAATGAGGTAAAATAAATTATTGACAAAAAGTATACGAGTACATACTAATATTGTAAAATATCCTTCTTTACTTATATCAAATTTTTTTGCTTTTAAAAAAATCACATATCTATTAACTATATTTTATAACTCATTGATACTCGTAGAACTTATACATTTTTAAAACATAGATATAAAGTTCTTTCAATAACTGTTTTTTATATTTTATTATTGTATATT